TGTTTGAGTGTGTGTATGTGTATATATGTGTGTGGTATGGGGTGGGTGTGTATATATGTGAGTGTGTGGTGTGTGTATGTTTGAGTGTGTGTGTGTCTATGCTTGAATGTATGTATTTGTAGGTGTGGGTGTATATGTATGAGTGTGTGTGTATATGTTTGAGTGTGTGTGTATGTGGTATGTGTGTGTATGTGTATGTGTGTATATGTGTTTTGTGTGTGTGTGTATGTGCATGTGGTATGGGGTGTGTGTGTATATGTGTGAGTGTGTGGTGTGTCTGTGTGATGCCTTCTCACAAGCCTCCTTTACAACCATCAGCCAACCTGAATTCCCACACACAGGCAGAACACAGCCCTCAGAGAACCCACGTGATGGAGCGGGGTCTGGATTTCAGCCACACACACCTGGGTCTCAACTCTTCAAGTGGACGAGAAAACAAAAGGAAACAACCCCACCCCACCCCCCGTCAAAACCCAAACCAGCCCACCTCTCTCAAGTCCTCTGACTCATCATGACCTTATGGGTCAGGGTAGACCTGCTGAAAATCTGAGGCGGGAGCCTCATTGTGCTCCCTCAGAGAGGTTGTGTGGGTTTGAACTGCTGGCCTTGCGGTTAGCAGCCCAGTGCCATCTGCCATCAGGGACCAGTGAGGGAGAAGGCAACCTTTAAGGCCGTGCCTCAGCGCGAGACTCTGATGCTATTCAGAGTCTCCTGCTTGGCAGGAAGAGTGTGTTAAATTAATGCCAGAGGCCCGGGCTTCCAGAGAGATGGACACTAACGAGCAGAATGTGTTTCTGTCAGACGCAGAGAGGCTCTCGACTGTTCCTGCAGCAGCAGCCGTGACAGGCCTGCGTATGAAGGTGTGGGGCTGTGGCCCATCTCCAGGGGCCTGGAGAACGGGCTGAGTCCCTGAGCACAGATGACAGGAGCCCTAACCGTGGGGTTTCTATTTTCTGGTCACTTGCCATTGAGCCAATTCCAACGCCTGCTGATCCTCCCAAATCCAACTCACGGCCATCGGGTCAATGGCGACCCTAAAGGATGGGTAGAACTGCCCCTGCGGGTTTCTGAGACTGTCACTCTTTACGGGAATAGGCAGCCTCCTCTTTCTCCTGTGGAGCGGCTGGTGGTTTTGAACTGCTGACCTCATGGATAGCAGCTCGATGCACGATGCACTGTGCCACCGGGCAGGGCAGAGGAAACAGCCCCACTGGGTTCCTGAGGCTGTGAATCTGTACGGAAGGAGGTGGCCACATCTTTTCCCTGATGATGGGGTTGAACTGCTGACCTCGTGGATAGAAGCTGAGCGCTGAACCACTGCGCTGTTTGGGCCCTGGCTGAACACCAGGTCATGGGCTCGCCTCTTCTGTCAAAC